GAGTTTTTAGTCGTTTTGTACGCGGATCACGTGAGATATTCATGCCCGTGTCATCCCTATATAGAGAGCTAACCGACTCTCTAATAAATACATCTGTGAGCTGTAAGCGCACATGTCATGTATATATAATGTTCCTCTCTAACGTTAGCCCTTGCTAGCTATGTACTATGTCCCTACTATTACTACAAGTTAGTCACACAGGCACCCAGTAGAATAATGGCCCAATAATACACTTCTCCTTGTAGAAAGAGGATGGGTCAGAGGTGTGTCAACAGTGACGCATACACTTCGGACCACTAGGCAGCCATATGTGGTGAGGTTGGCACACGCCTCCCAAACTCTAGGACTATCCTTCCCCCAATACCCAACACACACACATACTGTAACAGCACTTGCACATGCACGTTAAGAGTTAACTTACATGGTGGTTGTATGAGCATCTACCTCTGTGGCAAGTGCATCTAGCATGCAAATCTCTGATATCATGGTGTAGCAAAAAATGTCGCCTTTTTTAATATTCGCTTACTTCTAGGAAGCGAGAAATAAACGCATGCGTGGGTTACACTGGCGGGTTGCGCACAATGATCACGTGTTCTTCGGCACCTTTGAGCGGCCATTGTTTGAGGGCAGCGCTCGAGGATATTTCTTGTCGTTTCTGGTGCAAATACTTGTTTGAGCTGGCAACCAGCAGTCGTCTACATTCCGACCGTTGTAGGCAGAGGGGACTGACCGATGGAGAGCGCGATAGACGCCTGAAGATGTCCGCAGTGTGACACAACAGTACTCGGCGGCGTGGAACCACGCATGTGACACATAGCCCAAACAACATACGCGGTTCCACGCCGCCGAGGGTTTTGCACTTTAAGTGCTTTTCCATTATAATAATTATTGTTTGTTTTCACGCCATAACTGTCAAACGCATTGCTTTTACGAAAATCGCCAACCGGTATAGCGCTGAACCTTTTGGTATCGCTCTTTTGTTGTCTCGTTGCGCCTGGTGGCAGAAAACGTGGTAAGAGACAGACAGACAGATAAAGGGCTAAGTACTGTAACCCTCGCTGCGCATGCGCGCCGAGGGTTTTGCGGCATACGTTTGTTTGTGTTAGGTACCAACATCCACTTTGTATTCTTCCATGTGTTCCATGAATTGTGTTGCATGAAATAAACACTTGGCACACTCAGACGCAGGACAGAGGAAGCGCGATTGTTTGTGAGTGGTAGATATATATTTGTTGTATATATGCTTGTTTCATGTGTAGACTTAGGGTGTCTGCAAGTGTGTCACACCGACAGCAACCATCCACAGTATATATATATGTGAATGACTGGACGATCTTTTCTGTGGACATGTGCTTGGTAAAGTGTAGTACGATGTGAGAAGAGCAGGAAGCTATATACTGGAAGCAACTAACCTTGCTGGGTCTGAAGTGCTTCCTTCGTGGTTCAAGGTCTGGTTCTGGTGTTACATATATTGGCCATTTTCGGCTGTCTCTCACCAGCTAATAAGTATATATATACTTCTCTTCATGCATGCGTGGAAGATTCCGCGTTTCCCGCTATTTATTATTATTTACTTTGCTAATCCACGGAGAAAAATGATATCAGTGAAATGCTCCCCATACTTAATGGAGCTACTTTTTAGGGATGTACCATTCTACGGGCAAGGGATGCATGCCAGTTTCGAAGACTGTCTCGTATTGACAGAGTGCCTGACAGAGAGTGGAGGAGAGCTAGCAGCAGCAGCTCAGTTGTACCAGGACACCCACTGGAGTGACACACACGCCATCTGTGACCTCTCCATGTACAACTACATCGAGATGCGCTCCCACGTCACCTCGCCCCTGTTCTTAATCAGGAAAAGGATTGACAATGCCCTCCACTATCTCTTCCCGTCTCTCTTTATCCCTCTCTATTCAATGGTGGCCTTCACACGTATCCCCTACCGCCGTGTGGTGGAGAGACACAACGTTCAACAGACGGTCATCAGACGAGGGCTGTGGGGCCTGTCCCTTGCCTCTCTGGGGCTACTGGGCTACCTGATCTTCAAGTTTTCTGGAATGGAAGTTGCACTTCGTTACCGCATTCTTCCCTGCATCTTCAAATGTGTTGTTAATGACTACCTCCACTAATTGCTGCCATAGATTTAGTTTCCACTGGTATTATTAACCCTCAGCTCGCATGCGCAGCGAGGTGTTTGGTTTGTGTGTCCATCCTGTGCGTCTGTTTACAGTTATAAAGCGGAAGAACACTCATTTAACTTTATATAAGCTGCATCCATGCCACGATAGTGCACCACGTTTTTACTGCGTAAGTAAGTCATCCAAATATTTTTATACCATGATTTTTACTGCTACAAGTGAGTCATTCTACCTTCACTCCAGTAAGTAAGCTAGATGCTATTTTTCTATTTTCTGTATTTTCTACATGCTACCAATTTCATTTTTCTACCGTCTATCTATTATATGTATCATACTGTACTTGTGTTGTCGTGACTGTGCTATCGTACAGTTACTCCCGTGTGGCTGTCATTGTTTGTGATGTGGAGTTTGGATACTGGGTGTGTGGGGAGTTGGCTAGCCATAAAAGACTCTTTAACCCACCACCCCAGTTCTCAAGGCTGGGCACCCAGTGTCCTGCTCTCATGTCATGTCATGTGTATTTGTGTATGTGTTTTTTATGGATATTTTGGGATTTGTGGATATATATTGGTGGTGGGTTTTATTATTTATTTCTCTATCTATCTATCTATATATACCTATGGCTGGTATGCTATGAACTATAATTTCAGAATAATGGCCCAATAATACGCTTCTCCTTGTAGAAAGAGGATGGGTCAGAGGTGTGGCAACAGTGACGCATACACTCGGACCACTAGGACCGCATAGTGGTGAGGTTGGCACACGCCTCCCAAACTCTTAGGACTATCCTTCCCCCAATACCCACACACACACGCAACTGTAACAGCCCTTGCACATGCACGTTAAGAGTTAACTTACATGGTGGTTGTATGAGCATCTACCTCTGTGGCAAGTGCATCTAGCATGCAAATCTCTGATATCATGGTGTAGCAAAAAAATGTTAACGAAACCTTAGAGTACAGTTACGTAGTATACTAACTACGCTGACATACAAAAATTAGCAAAAACACAGTATTTAAAAGCTGTAAAAAGCAGGGAATAGATAAGTCAGTAAGTCTGGTATGTAGTATAGTAGAGAGATAAGAGTCTTATGTAGAGTGTTCTTTCTTTTAAATATTTTACTCCTGTAAAAGACAAGTTGCTGATGACCTATATGTAGTATAGAACTAGGCTACAATGTTAGAAGAAGTAGAGTAGTTTACTGCTGTAGAAGTTTGACTATTTGCTGATGACCTTTGGCTTTTGCGAAACTCATGGCTGTACGTCCATCTGAGAGGTGAGGGAAAATTACACTCATTGACTAAATGAGAGACAGTCAACATTATTGCAGCACTAAACCTTCGATGCAAATGGGTCTGACGTCAGCAGCCTAGCCTGCAGTAGGTGCACTCTACACATGTGCGAGAGACAGCACTGCTAATGATGGGCGTGGCCATGCTGGGTAGGCACACAGCAGAGTCACACCACAACCACATGACAATCCCTCTATTTATGTCAGCACCAACAAAGATGTGACTATGAAAGTTGGTACCTATAAGGTAGATCTTTAGCTCCAGATTCTAGCAGGAGTTCCAACTACTTCCAGGGTCCAAAGTAAACTGCTGCAATGAGTGAAGTTGATCCATCCTAAAGAGAGGAAGATAGAAAACATTAAAACATCCATCTCCATAATAGACCATACAAAGAAAATGACAAGTGACAGGCACATGATGGGCACCAAGATCTGCTCATGGTGACAGGTGGGAGCAGTGTGAGTTGGCCGTAGCGAGACCAGTTCTGTCTCTGCTGAGCGAACAGTTCAGATGTTCGCCAGGAAATTGAGAGGTTTCAAGCCGTTATTTGGTTCGAGGGAGTCGGCGTTGTGCGCAGAGGAGTGTGGTGAATGGGACGGGGAAATTTTTTGGTTTGCCGGTCGGGGCGTCTGGCTGGGGGTGTGGGGTTGCTGGGGCTGGTTAGTGAGGATGGGGGTGGTGGATGGTGGGTGGGATTGTGGCTTTGCTACTTTTTGTTTGTTTTGTGTTTTTTTGGTAAGTTGTTATTTTTACAGTTGTTGATCTTTGTGTCTTTTTTTTTCATTTTTATTTATTGGTTGTTTTTTTTTTATTTTTTTTTTTTTTTTTTTACCCACCCTGTTGGTCCTTATTATGTCTCAGAAGTCAGACATAATATCTCATGTTCAGCCTGGAAATTACCGCCGGAGGGACACATAGCAACGGCTCAGTTCGAGTACACGTACAGTAAATCTATGTCTGTCTCCCGTGAGGAGATACAAGCTCTCCGGCGAGAATAGCGCGTCGACCTCACGTTTTTGCTGGACACAGGGGCAGCACGCTCCGGAAAGAAGCATGGGAGAGGATCCTCAAAAACTCCCCCATTAAGGCTCCCGACCTGATACCAAACCAAAGTTTGGAGTTGGTGGGTTGCAGACGGCTCTGCTCTCAAGACCCACGGCACCGCTTTGCTGACCCTACAGCTCAACGGAAACGACATACCCGTAGATGTGGCTGTTGTTAGTCCTCTCACCACAGAAGGAATACTAGGGCTGGACTTGAGAGCCTCCATCAACTTACAACCTGAGGAGTTACTCTTACAGGAGGTGATGGATGGCCCATCTCGAGGATCCAGTAACGCTAGGCCAAACTTGGACGTTTTTGCTGGACACAGGGGCAGCGGCGGTCACCCTTCTCCGGAAAGAAGCATGGGAGAGGATCCTCAAAAACTCCCCCTCCTCCCGACCTGATACCCAGCAAAGTTTGGAGTTGGTGGTTGCAGACGGCTCTGCTCTCAAGACCCACGGTACCGCGTTGCCGACCCTACAGCTCAACAGAAACGACGTACCCGTAGATGTGGCTATTGTTAGTCCTCTCACAACTGAAGGAATACTAGGATTGGACGAAAATCTACCCAGTTACCAACTAGTGCAGATTATAGTGAAGGTACAAAGGAATATCTCAGTTCCAGCCTACAGTGAGCTAGAGGTGATGGCCCATCTGGAGGATCTAGTAACACCAGGCCAAACTTGGACACTCGAAAATAATCACCAGAAGCCTGTCGGTGTGATTGCAGCCAGTGCCCTGGTCTGCCCCATTTCAGAAGAGGTCCCAGTGAGAATCATCAATACCACATCTGAACCTGCACTTATCTACGCTGGTAAACAAGTGGCAATCCTGGAACACACCGAACCAGGATTTGTGTACCCAGTGGAGTTTCGCCCGGCTGATCACGTCAACCAGGAGGTCAGTGAGACAGCGTGGCTGGTGGTCAGAGTCATGTAGCTTATGACTGTAGTCTGCCAGGTTACACATGTAACACTGAATTTCTACTGACATCTCGGAGCAACACATGATATTACCAACAGTGCAAGCATTGATTAATACTGAAGATGGTCTAAAGGATTTTAACAGTTTGGAGGCCTTTTGTACGTGAATGTTTTGTACGCGAATCACAATAATTCACCTGTGCAATCCGTACATTAGAATCTCTACTGATGTTATGATAAGGTCAGAATCGTTGGAGAGGAGGAGTGTCGAGGAGTCATCGCAGTAGACCACTCTTCATAGTGTCGTTGGATGGTCCACCTTTTATTCATGTAAAAAGGTGCTGTCCTGGGTGTCGTTGCTTTGCTTGCCTTGCACTCTAACATATTAGTTATGCATTTGGGCACAGGACCCACAGCTGGTCACCCAGCAATGGTAGTGGTGAAAAAGGAAAGAGTCAGTTGTGAAGCCAAGAGCTCTGTTTGTTTCTCATAGCTACCTACCACACAAGTACTGTAACCCTTGCTGCATATATATGTGTGCATAATGATAAGTGACAAGCACATGATGGGGACACTCAGATCTGCTCATGGTGACAGGTGGAGCAGTGAGTTGGTGTAGCGAGACCAGTTCTGGCTCTCTAACTGACTGACCAAGGCAAGGAAACACTTAGAGATGTGGCAAGGTATTGACTTCAGCTGAGCCCTCAAAAATTGTCATACCTTCTTTATTATACATCCAATTGCAAAGGCACAACATAATTGGAGTCCTCAACATTTTTTTTCTGTTCTGATGATATGCCTGACTGCATTCTAAACCTTATCTGTCAAAAGTTAGCTATAAGAAAAGTATGCCTACATAAAGGATGTGGTACCTGTAAAAACCACTAGCTGGGCTAAGATGAACGCATAAAGTGCTATATGCTGGGCGGGGAAGGATTTCTATTAGTCGTTTTCTTAGGAATAGCGTTTAGGACAATAGCAATCCTACGATTAGCCAATCAGATTTCAGAACTCACAATAAAGTAAAAAGAGAATGTCCATAGAGTAACACAGACATCTACGTAATATGTTGCCTTGTTCACCACACTGTTAAAATATGGTGTATCTAACACCCCCATTTTCTGTACCAAAACTGGCAGGGTGTATTGGAGCACCTCAGGGTGTTCATACGCTTAAGTAGGTGTTTACTAACACTCTTGGGGTGTAGAGTAACCCATGGTGCTCACAACAACACCTAAGGGTGTAATCCTACACTGACCCCATCACAAGTTCCTTTGCCTTGTGCATTGTGCAATGTCAGAAAATTTCATCATCCCTTAGACCTAGACACAAAACTATGAGTGACCTTTGACCCCCAGTTTTAAAGGGTCAGAGGTTTATCTTTTGGAATGCAGAAGAGAGAATAGAGGTGAGGCTCTCCAACTGCCTGCAGTTCTCATACTTGTCCTGGTAGTGAGTCTAACAGGGTTTTGTTTGGAGGCCTTTTGTACGCGAATCACATGATAATTCACCTGTGAATCCCTACATTAGAGTCTCTACTGATGTTATGATAAGGATCAGAGGCTACTCACACAATTTTTTTGGATCACTTCGGGAACAGGTGATAACTTTGCTAGCAAATTACAATCACTTAATGATAAAAGCTTGGAATAAACCAGTCAACAAATTATGAGTATAGTGTCAAATACAGTGAAGGACATTCAGGATTGAGGAGGGGAAAAACAGAGAACAATGTCTTGCCCATTGCAGCAAAAGACATAATATTATGTAGATACTAGGTGAATAGTTAGCATTGTTGGCGAACAGAAGCGATCCAACTGCGGTCATTGGTGAATATTGAATATGCATTACAAAGAAAGTGCTGTGTTTTCTGATGTTTCAGACGTGATCCACTGCTGGTCGTTAGTGTCTGTGACAAAGTTTCCAGCAAACGTCTCTTTCGGTCGGCGGTTCTCATCTGTTGCAGGTGTGAATCTCTATCTACACATCTCCATGCTCTCTCCCGTGCCCTACGTTGCAGAAGCAATGAGCTGTCTGTGACAAGGATGGTCCCTGGCACTCCCGGGCCTCCACAGTTTCTGAGGGGCGACAGTGTCGGTCTCTCTCTCTCTCTACTGGCGTCTGTACTGATAGGCTGCTGTTGAACCCTCCACGTGTGTGGGGCGAATTAAGTTCTAGATTTGGAATCATGTACAATAATTACGGTTTGAGTGGCAGTGTCAGACTGGAAAACTGGGCCCGTAACGACTAGGGTGGCTCGCTCCCGCTCGACAACAAGAATTTGGCTACACCTCTTTGCTAAAGAATGAACTATAGGTTCCTGTTTTCTACTTCAGAGTAGGCACAAGACAATACTAAAATTGCAAATCCTATAGCAGTAAACACACACACATTCGACGATAAAAATTGAGCCGTCAGAAAAACACTTCATGCACATCAAGGTCATCGATCGACAGTACCCACTATGTGTATACTTACTTATTCTCTAACTCTTACAGAAGCTAGCAATAATACTGAGGTAGGAAGGCAACACTGGATACCATACTCACCTTTCATGTATCATCTGATGCTACCATGGTATATGATACGACCGACTCTGGTCGAGGTAACCCCTTGCAATTAGCATAATTGTGATTCGATGTTTACTTCACTTTGTGCAATAATATTTAAACGTTCTATTTAGGTATCGCTGGCTCAACGTCGATATGTGTTTAATGGCAGATTACAGTGTTTCTGTTGCAATGCAGTCCGTACTGAGCACCTAGCAACCACACAAGAGTGCTGACTTATTAGAACACATGACTGCAGTGCATTTGTGTGGTTTAGTCTTAGTGCGGGAGAGGATTAATTAGGGACCCATTAATTAGGTTATGCACGAGACTACCCTAGGCATATATAATCGTTAATCCGTCTGAGGCACTAATTGGAACCGCATAATATGTGTTCTGAAAATATTAGTGAAGCATGTGTAGTCTCTGCCAAGATGATTCGTGGCCAGTATTGAAACGCTTGCCTTATTGACAACGTCAGTGCATTATTAACTAACTTATGCCACACTGTTTCAGTGCGATTCAAGCACTTAAAAAGTGTGCAGCGTGACAAAATTGATGGCTGAAGGTCACAGGACCAGCACTAAGTGAACGAATATAGGTCCACCCAGTAGGCTGTACATCACTAGCCATCAGTAGGTATAGTGACAGTACATAGAATGCTGATCTGAGGCACACACACACAGTTGACGACCTATCTCTGACCACCCACCATTATACCTTCATCAGGCCACATAAAGAATAAGAGCCTACGTACTGATCCTTTAATGGCGAGCTGGAGCGACGCCACCTAGTCGTCTTTCCGAGTGGAATTTTCGGTATATACTATCGTTCGTACGTCAGGAAGTGCGCATGTGCGCTTTGT